ATAGATAGATAGATAGATAGATAGATAGATAGATAGATAGATAGATAATCCCTACATCCCCACCAACACAGTGTTCACTGAGTCAGCCCAAAATACTATGGAAACAATCATTTAAAAAGAATAAATTACCAGCTCAGGTGTGGAGGCGCACACCTTTAATCCCAGCACTCAGGAGGCAGAGGCAGGTGAATATCTGAGTTTGAGGCCAGTTTGGACAACAGAGCTAATTCCAGGATGACCAGGGTTACACAAAGAAACCCTGTCTGGAAAAAACACAAAATAAATGACTAAATGAATATAAATAAACAAAGTGAAGGAAAAGGAACAGAGCCTCTCTAGGGGCATAGTTGTAGTGACACAGGCAGATCCATACATCCTACTCCAGAGAGGGACAACACCACGGGTATGGGATCCAGGTATGCACCATCTGGAAGTTCTTCCAGGAGATGAGGTCTTGCTTTGCCTCACAGTGCTGGTGTCCACTACAGGCCTACCCTTAGCTAGGTATGGTCACTTGCTTCCCAGGCCAGCCATAACTGTCTTTTTGTCCCTGCCTTCCAGGGATAAGACATGAGGAGTCCAGCTTCATGAACGGCAGGATGATAGCACAGAGGTGAGGGAGTCTCTTCCTCTGTGGTCACTGTCCCGTTAGCCAAAGGCCCTGTTACCTGCTTCCCTCTGAGCCCTACCTACAGGTAGGACCATCACCGGGCAACAAGCTGAGAGAGCCCCATCTGCAGCCCACAGTCTGTACCTTTCACTGCCTGCTGCTGCTCCAGGATCTTGCGTGTACGGGGGGTGGTCCCCTTGGGCATGTGGATGATGTACTTTCCCTCCATCTCAGCTGTCACTCGACGCCTCTTGGTAGGAACAACCAGGCTCTCCTCCCTGCGGGCCAGAGCTGGTGAGGAGACATGGGGTTAGCTCCTTCAGGGATAGATGTTCTGGAAGGTGTGGGTGAAAAACCTAGCTACAAACAAGACAATCTGTCTGTCTCTGTCCTCTCTCTTTGGAGACAAGGGCTTACTAGTAGCCCAGGCTGGCCTCCACTGACAATCACACTGCTTTAGCCTTGGAGGGCTGAGCTTATGGGCATGCACGATAGGGCCCAGCTGCAAACCAGTGTCTTTCATCTTCTTACTTGTGAGACGGGATCGTTCATGTGCACAGCTGCCCCCATTACCAGACTGAGTCACCGAGGACATTAGTTACCTGGTGTGGCTAAACCACAGATGTGCCTTGGATTTGCAAGCAGTGGTGGCTTCCCAGACGCTGTAGACTACAGGACCCACTGGGATGGGGATCTCAGACCCCATGGTGCTGCCTTCAGAACTGTGTGCTTATGCCTTCTGCCAAATCGTTTTGTGCTTTCACTTTTTAACAAGGACGCAAGGTCCATACTTACTGTTTGGGTATTATGTAAAATTAATTATACTTTGAAATCTATGTATTGGGGCTGGAAAGATTGTTCAGTGGTTAAAGAATATTTGCTGTTCTTCCAGAGGACCTAGGATTAATTCCCAGCACCCACATGGCAGCTCACAACCATCTGTAACTCCAGTTCCAGAGGACCAGATGTGGCTTCTGCTGGGACTAGGCATTCATGTGATGAACAGACATACTGCTGACAAAACATCCATACCACATAAAATAAGGAAAAAAATTATAATGTGTGTGTGCACATATGTGGCGATCTCTCTCTTTACTACACTGTTGGTCCCAGGGATTGACCTGTGTTCACCAACCCGACACAGTTATACTTCTTTTTCTGTTGCAAAGCCAGGATCTCACAATGTGGCCCACACTGGTCTGGGACTTGTAATCCTTCTGCCTCAGTCTCTCCACTCCAGCATGTTCTACTGCACCTACTTTATACTTCAACTACAAAAAGGAATTCCCTCCGCAGTGTCAAGAGGGGAATGTGCCACCATTGTCTCAGCCCTTTATTAACTACTTTTAACTTTCTGTTTTTCCTTTCTGGTTTGCTAGCCTGGAATTCTATATAGAACAAACCAAACCTGAATTTGAAATGATCCCCTGCCTCTGCTTTCTGAATGCTTGACTTAGAGGTGTATGCCACCATACCTAGATTTTCACATTTACTTTTTGTTTGTTTGTTTCTCAAAACAGGGTCTCCCTGTGTAGCCCTGGCTGTCCTTGAACTTGCTCTGTAGACCAGGCTGGCCTCAAACTCAGAGATCCATCTGCCTCTGCCTCCAGAGTGCTGAGATTAAAGGCGTGCGCCACTACCACCTGGTCTTTACTTACTTTTATTTAAAGATTATTTGTGGTGCTGGGGATTGAATCCAGGGTTTTGTGTATGCTAGGCAAGTACTCTACCACTTAGCTACAGTCCAGTCCCAGAATCTTTTTTCTTTTTATAAGACAAAAACTCGAGCTTGTAGCCTAGCCTAGATGCAAACTCACAGCAATCCCCTTGCCTCCACCCTCCCAAATGGTGGAATTATAGGTGTGAGCCACTACAACCAGCAACTAATTTTACCTTCTAGTTGAAGGTGCTTCCATACACACAGACAGACAGACAGACAGACAGACACACACACACACACACACACACACACACACACACACACACACACGGCAAAGACAATGCCAGGGCAGTGGCAACAGATAGCGTGTGATGAGGACTACTGGGCAATTGAAAAGTGAAGTCCTCTCCCTGGGCCTCAGTTTCCACAGGTGCCTTATGACACTAGGAAATAGGAATGGGTGCAACAAATGGGCAAGAACACGGCAGAGAGCAGCAAAGTCCAAGAGGCCAAAGGCTGAGTCCCACTACCAGCTTGAAGCCCTGGACAGAGGGTAGTCAGAAAAACTCAAGCAGAAGCAACCAGAAGCATGCTGCAGGCTGAAGGTCACAGGCAAGGGCTGGAAGACAGCAGGCAAGATGAAGTGATGAGGGCTGGGGCGTGGCTCAGCTTGGTAGAGTTCTTGCCTAGCGTGCACACAAGCCCTGGGTTCAATCCCCCTAGCACTGCATAAAAAGGTGTGGTGATCCATGCTTGAGGTCTCAAAATTCACATGGGAGGCAGGAGGAACAGGAGTTCAAAGTCGTCCTGGCTATATAACAATTTCAAGGCCAGCCTCAGTTACTAAGAAGTGGAAAAGCCAGGTCTCTAGTCTACCTTGGAGAGCTTCTCACTTTCCTTGAAAAAAAGACGGCATCACTGCCCTTCTAGAAACAGTAACAGGAGCTAGAGAGATGGCTCAGTGCATAAGATCAAGTACTGCTTTTGCAGAGGGCCCAAATTTAGTTCCCAGCACCCACATCAGACAGTTCATAATAGCCTATAACTTCAGCTTCAGGAACACCACTCTCTGGCTTCCATGGATACCTGGACACACAAGCACACATACACATAATTTAAAAAATAAATCTTTAAGTTAAAACAAACAAAGAGGTCTCCTTGTGGAGCAGTGGGAGCAGGGGCTGTCCCCAACACTTTGGCTAGCTTCTGGGAACCTAGTCCTCACACTGGGTTGCCTTGCCCAGCCTTAATACAAGGGGAGGAGCTTAGTTCTACAGCAACTTGATATGCCACACTTTGTTGACACCCATGGGAGGCCTGCCCCTTTCTGAACAGAAACAGAGGAAGGGTTAGGGGGAGGAGATGTAATGTAAATGAATACATTTAATTAAAAAAAAGAGAGAGAGAGAGAAACAAAAATGAAGTTCTCAGACTTGATCAACTTCACAGAGGTCAATGACTCTTGGGTGGTCTCTGAAGCACCTTGCCACATTTAGTAGCACCCCCATACACACACACACACACACACACACACACACACACACACACACACACA